ATATATAGCAGACAATTTAAGGTTTATATTCCTGAAACATTGGCATACATATAAAGGAATGTTGTTCAATATTTTTGAAATGCAGAGAATACAAGGCATATAAAGCTATTTTTCTAAGATACTCAAATATAAGCTGATGTACATGAAGCTCTTATTTTATATATATTTATATATATTATAGTTTAAAAAGTGTATAGCTGGAATGTTAAATTAGATAGATTTTATGCTAGATTCCTGTTTAAATTACAGTTTAATTGAACTGAATTGTCCTCAGCTTGGAAGAAACTTATTATTGGTTCTTTTTTTAATTGAAAAAATTAAATACCTTTGCCACAATTACTGAGCAAGAATTTAGGTCTCATAAACCTAAACTATTAAGCTGTTGGTTTGCCTTTTGGCTGAGGTCCTCTTTTTAGCGGCTGATGACATAATCCCAGACTGCATTAACAACAAAGCAAGCACCCTTCTTCACTTTAACCTTCTTTACTTTTATATGTATGTTTATCTTATTAAGACTGACTTGGTATAGTTATTTTTTATTTTATTCGGTTTTACCTCAGAATACCATCTGAATAGATCTGTTTTTGCCAGCAATGATCATCCGATTGAGGTGGAATGCAATTAGAGCTTCCATGTTAGGAAAACTTAGCATTATACATCCAGATTAGATATGATTTAAAGGAGTTGCATGATATTTTAGATCTGATATTTGTATGATCAAAAACACAGCATGCTGAACACTGTTTATTTTGTTTTGTCTATCACTGCAACTAGTAGCCCTTTTGACGATATGTGAAATAAAATTAAAAAAATGCAGGAAACATCAAGTTCCACCTTGCTAATGGGGAGTTTGTTAATTATTTTCTCCTGTTTCAAAGCACAGATTAAGGTGGAAGCAAATTTTTTATGCAACCGCCATAAATGTTAGACCATAGTTGAATACTAAATATTTCAAAGGTCCTAATCTGCAATCAGTGAACTTAATGATGGCATGGTGTTCCCTTAAAAATTCTCATTATCAGAAGCTTACAGTGTGAATCCCCAAGGTGAGAGATGACAGCAGTAACAACTTTAATAAAAAACTCCTCCAATAAAGTTTCCTCAATAGTTTACCTTAAATATCTTTAAAAATAAATTAATTAATTTATATAGCATTTATATTTACAATAGAGAGTAGGAAAAAAAGTTGTGAATTTAAGAGAGAATGCTAGAGGAAGCCGATAAAGAGGAACTGTTTTCCAGCCTAAGTCTGCCACCTTGTGTCTAGAGCCTAAGTAACACACAATATGGACTTGTCATTTTATTTTAAATTAAAGCAACTTCTGCTTGTCTAATGTAGGGAAATGTTTGCTTTATTTTTGCATATAATCCATCCATCCATCCATCCATCTTCTTCCACTTAACCGTCAGGGTCACATCAGGGCTGGTGCCTATGTCCACCAGTCGATGGGCAAAAGGTGGGATACACCCTGTACAGGTCACCCTTCAATCCCAGAGACTACTTTGAGTCTATATTACATAAAAGGATGTAAAAGTTTAGTTTGCTTTAGTGCCTAGTTATATGATTTATTTTGCTCTTGGACTCAAGCTTTCTCCTCAATCCTCCAAACAAATGACACCAAAATAGGTAATATAACCGTAACTCTCTTTAAGGCTAAATGGAAGATCACATATATTTCTTAGTGCTTCATATTTAGGGGTTCAGTTTGTTTAAACTTTTTTTTTTCATTTTTTAGCTAAACTTGAGCTGTATTTTCCTACACTTTATCTATAATCCACTCAGCTTGTCCCTAGAAGACAGGGGTGATCCTGCAACCACAGGGTTGCTGGTTCAAACCCCAAGCTCCATCTGTCTCATTTGTTGTGTCCTTGGGCAAGAAACTTCACCTGCATTGTCAACTGCTTGTGGCAAGCAGGCCCAGATGCATCTGTGTATCATAGCCTTGCTTCTCTCAGGGTGCCCCAGGACAGCGGTGGCTACAATGCAGCTGTGGCTACCGTGCAGCTGTGGCTACAGTGCAGCGGTGGCTACAGTGCAGCGGTGGCTACAGTGCAGCGGTGGCTACCGTGCAGCTGTGGCTACAGTGCAGCGGTGGCTACAGTGCAGCGGTGGCTACAGTGCAGCTGTGGCTACCGTGCAGCTGTGGCTACAGTGCAGCGGTGGCTACAGTGCAGCTGTGGCTACCGTGCAGCTGTGGC